TGCTCCCCAGAGTGTAGAGCGTGAAGGTGTGAGCGAGGGTGTGAGAGTGTTTGTGAGTGAGTAAGCCTGCGCCTGTGAGCTTATGTGTGGGTGTCCCAGTGTTCTCTGCAGTTGCTTGGGGCTGATGGCAGCAAGACAAATGGCTAGACCTTGGCGGGCTGGCTAGAGGACCCCAGAGCTGGGGAAGGAAGCAGGAAACCAAAGCCCTTTCCACACAAAGTGGGGTTGACTGGCTTGAGGTGGGAGAATGTTCTTACAGGACCCTGTGGCAGGGGCTTCCCTCTGCTACACTGTGGACTCTATTCCCCTAGCTCCTTGGGGGTCACTTGTGTCCTCCTCCCAAACTCCAAGCCAAGTAGACATAAAGACCCCCAGTTTAGAGGCTAGCTGGCAGGGGCGGTGGGGGCGTTCAGCAAAAAACCACTTTTCTACTCAGCTCCCCTGAGCTGATACCCTCAGGACCATGTGGCTGGAAGACCTAAGGGGTCAGAGACGGCTCCCGCTCCCACACATCCTCCCTTGGCCATCAGACCCGCCAAGTCTGATGAGTCGTGTCTTAGCCTCAGGTGTCCATGGTGGAGTGGATCTGGAGGCCTCAAGAAGTGATGGTGTGAGATGGAAGAGGGTGTCTGAGAGGTGTGGCCCCTGGGAGGGAGATGGGGCTCAGTGGGAGGTCTGTGAATGAGAGTGGAAGCCCCCAGTCAGGGCCCAGGTCAGCCCCTGCCTGGCACTGAGCCCTGAGGAGAAGCCGGAACTTTCTCAGCCCAGTGGTTTCCTGCTGCCGCCTAAAGTCCCAGTTCCCTTTGGTGAAAGCCCCAGGCCTCCTGGGCAAGCCCGGTCCTCTGCCTAGCCTGGGAACTTCTCTTCTTCTCAACTCTGCCCAACCCTGCACCCCTGCTCACCTACCCCCTGCCTTTTAGGGTCATCCTCAAAGGGAAAGAAGGGAAGGAAGGTTTACTGAGCAGCTACTGTATACCTAATGTTTTCTGGGCCTTTGATTTGAGGCTCAGGAACAACTCCATGTGGTAAAGATTTGTATTCCTTTGTTTTCTGGTTTTTGTTTCCTTGAACCAGAGCCTTCACCTTGAGCTATGTCCCCAGCCCTTTAAATTTTTTAAAACTTTGAAACAGGGTCTTACTTAGCACTAAGCTGCCCAGGCTGGGCTTTAATTTGTTATCCTCCTGCCTTAGCCTCCCAGAGTATTGGGGTTACAGGTAGGTAGCACCACACCTGGCTCTTATATTCCTATTTTATAGGAAAGAAATGGCAGGGTTTGGGAAGAGCAGGACATCTTGTGTTTACCCCAAAACCTTGACATGGCTGTGAGAAGTATGACCCTCAAGGAAAGATGGGCAAGTCCAGTGCTGTGGTGTACACTTGTAATTCCAGCTACTCAAGAGGCAGGATGATTATAAGTTCAAGGCCAGCCTGGGCAACTCAGGGATACTCTGTCGCAAAATAATATTTAAAGGGACTGGGGATATAGTTCAGTGGTAGAGTACTCATGGGTTCAATCCCTCCTCAAAAAAAAAAAAAAGAAAGAAAGAAGAGAAAGAAAGTAAAAGGAGCCAGGCATGGTGGCAAGTACCTGTAATCCCAGCACTCGGGAGGCTGAGGCAGGAGGATCACTGTGAGTTCAAGACCAGCCTGGGCTACATAGTGAGTTCCAGGTTAGTCTCAACTACGTAGTGAGACCCTGTCTCAAAAAACCAGAATAAGTAAATAAATAAAGTAAAAGGAAGGGAAAGGAAAAAGAAAACAAAAAAACCTGATGGGCCTGGGGTTCCTGTGTCTAGGAGTAAGGGTGAGTGAGAGGCAGGGTGCCCAGCTGCCATGTAAGAGCGGTGATGTGTTCGGCTAGCCAGCAGCTGGGCTGGAGAATGACATTCCCCAGTCAGCGCCAGCATGATCCTGCTCAGGCTCTGGAGAACACAGAACTCTGGATCCAAATTAATAGTCCCAGCACTGACTCTCCTACCTGGCTGTGTGACTTGGGCGAGCTCCCCCCGCACAAGAGGCAGATGTACTGAGTGTCCCTGGGGGCCGTGCTACTCTGCTGCTTGTGGTTCTCAGCCTCACTCGGTCACTGCACACTGGCAAGCGCATCATCTCATCAAGCCCTCCTAGCTCCTCTGCACAAATGATGCAGACAAGACATTCACCTGAGGCTGCAGCACTCCTAAAGAACGGAGCCAGGAGGACCACGCCAGGAGGACCACGCGGGCAGATGCTGGGGAGGAGGAGCACTTGGTCCAGAGGTGGAGCTCAGCTCTGACACCCATAACCTAATTTTGACCCCAGTGGGGCTCTGGGAGCTCGTTTCTGTCAGCCAGATGTTCAAGAGACATGTTCAGAGCTGGGAGTGCAGCAGAGTGGTAGAGTGTGTGCTTAGCATGCACAAAGCATTGGGTTCAATCCCCAGAACCAAAGCGGAGGAGGGGAGAAAGAGACATATCATAAACTGACTCAAGCCTCTGCAGTGCCCAGAATGTTCATGGTCACTCTGGGTTGCCCCCTTTCTGGTGTTAGCAGCCAGCCAAGTTCAGTGCTTCCAAAAAAAAAAAAGATCCCTTTCTCTCTCTGGGCCATAACTAGGATTTAGAGCATGTAGCACAGGGCCTGGAACACAGCGGGCACTCATAAAGGGACCTGCGTTATTGCTTCTGCCAGGACTGCAAAACAGAAGAGTGCTGAAGGTGGGCTTGGGAGCCAAATTGATTAGCGCTGTATTTTAGTTTTTCTTACTCAAAAGACAATCTTGGGCAAGTGACTTAATATCCCTGGGCCTCAGGTTATTTTCATCGGTAAAAGAAGGGTTAAAAATGAAACCTACCTTGGGCTAGTGCTGTAGCTTAGTAGCAGAACACTTGGTTAACATGTGCAAGCCCCTGGGTTCAGTCATAAGCACTGAAAAAGAAAGAAGAAGAAGAGAAAAGAAAGCCTACCTCATAAGGTCACAGAATGAGATCATGCATAGGAATTGCTTGGCTCAGGGCCAGCCACTGCATAAATGTTTAATAAATTAGCACATTTTTCCTAATAGCTATTGCCACCCAGACTTCTAGGAAGTCCAATTACTCCCCATAGAGCTGGTGGCACGTGGTTGGGATCAGAGCAAGGGGAGGGCAAAGAAAGATGCCTAAGCAGAGAGGACCCAGCCTGTGGCCACCCCCTCACTTTGGTTTTCTCTTGGTCTGTTTAGTTCTCTGCCTCTCACCTCTTCTCTTCCTTGCTGCCTTTCTCTTTTTCTGCTTCTGCCTTTCTGTCGCTCTTCGTCTTTCCCTTGCGTTTCTGTCTCCACTTGTCTCTTTGTCTTTCTGCAAATGATGGGCTGGAGCCAGCTGGCACTGGCTCCGAGCTGATTCTGTGCATCCGTCCCTGGCCTGGCCTTCAGGAAGTCACTCTGGTAGCTTTAAATCAGTGATGGTGGAACTATTTACACTACAGAAATCAACAAATGTTAGAAATCAGGGCTCTGTGTTTTTTTATTTTTCCTGAAACTCAGAACACACCACACTGTTTCTCTTTGTCTCTGTCTCTTCCTTTGGTCTCTATTTTTAGGTCTCTGCATTTCTGTCTCTTCGTCTCTCTGTCTCTCAGTCTCTGCCTGCTTGTGTGTCTTCTCTCTTTTGCTGTCTCTTCCTAGCTCTTTGTCTCCTGAGAAGAAACCGCATGAGCATGGTCACATGCAGTGTGGCACCTCAGTGCCTTGGGTTGTGCTGATGACAGACCCCGCGTTCCACATCCCGAGTCCCTCAGCATACTCGTCCCAGAGGCCAGGCCCAGGTGGGCCCTCAAGCCTGGGGGTAATAAAGCCCTGGCAGCTGCCCACCTCTGCCTGCCAACCACACCGTCAGCCCTGTTAAAGGCCTGCAGAATCCGGGGTTCCCCTTGGGCTGATACAGATACGTTGTGGCAATGTGCGTGTGGATATTATTGGAGGTGGCAGTGTTGTACCTCTGCGTGCATCCCAGAGTTGTATAAATCTGTGTCCTCTGTGGAGGAGCTCTGTGCTGGGCTGTCTCGAGGGAAAGGCTGTGTATATCCGTGTGTCCCTATGGGGGCTCTGCATTTGCTGGTGTTTTGGGGACTGGCTGCGACTGCCCTTGTCCTACAGGCAAGGGAGAGAGAAGTGGTTGAGAGCTCAGGTCTAAGAGCCAAAGGAAGGAGACATCATCTGTGTGGCCCTGGACAACTCTCTGTGCTTCAGTAACTTCATCTATAATAATACTTTAAATCATAGGGTTGTCGTGAGGATAAAATGAGGTGGGATAGGTAAAGTGCTTAAGGCAGAAGCAGGCGCATAGTAAATGCTGTAAACTTCACTGAGTGTGTGTGAGTGTGTGTGTGTGTGTATGTGTGTGAAGACCATGTCTGGGGCCTGCGTGGAGCTTGGTGCACTGCCTGAGGTGTGTGTTTGTCTTCCTGCGAAAAGACCTTCATTCTCACCCTGTAACCCTTGCTTTCACATTTCCCCATCTTTTCTTTCACCTTCCTGAAACTTCTGGCTGGGCCCTGGCCACCCCACCCCCTTCATTCTTTCCCCCTTCCCCTTAATCAGCCTTCAGTGTCCTAGGCTCTTTCTGACGCAGTGGCCTCACCCCGAGGAAAGGGTCCCAGGGCAAAGACTTCATCGGGGGACTATTTCATGGCAGGCCTCTCACCAAAGCCTGCCTCCCAGCTTTCTGCAAGGGTGTTACCCTGCACACCACAGGAGACACAGTGCCCGTGAAGGGTGACAGGCAGGCGGGGCTGGGCCAGAGGTCAGGACTATTTACCCACAGCCGACCTGCTGGATCCAGGAAAGCTTCCTGGAAGAGGTAAGTGGTCCTGGTAGGAAGGGCAGGACCTAGAGAGAAAAGGAAGAGGGTATTGGGAAGGGACTGTGGGCCAAGAAGGCAAGTCAGAGGTCCCTTTCCCTAGGATTTTCAGGACCTTCTAAGGGAATCAGAGTTCACCAGGTTGAACTCACCCTACAGCATCTTAGGAAACCAAGCCCTGTCCCCAGCCAGTTCCTCTCTGAATGTTGCAATGGCCGAGTTTCTGGCTAGGGGAGGAGGGGTGGGAAGCCCTTGCTCAATAACTTGCCTGCCATGTTGCTCGGAGGACACAGATGACAGTGAAGGTTTGGCTTAGCAGAGGAGTTCCCCAAAGGACCTTGGTGGCCCCAGCTTCTGACCTCATCCTTTCCTGATGCAGGAACGGGAGTGCAGCTCTGGAGGTTAGTGTTCACTTTCATTCTGGCACCAGAGGTGACCCAGGGGCTGTGGGGCTTGCCCAGCCCAGGCTGGGAGCCGAGGCAGGGTTCCAGGATGGTTTGATTTCAGGATGCAGTGACTAGGGCCTATGAGGGAGCTGAGCAGGGATTGACAGAAATCCAGTTAGAGTGGAGTCTAAATTTTAAAATATGCATGTCTGAGTATACAAGTGTTAACTTGAAGGGCAGTATACACATGTATATGGTACTTTTTTATTCTGGTACTGGGGATTGAACCCAGGGCCTTTGCACTGAGCTACATCATTAGTCCTTTTTTAATTTTTAATTTTGAGACAAGATCTGGCTATGTTGCTATATTGTCCAGGCTGAGCTCAAATTTGCAGTCTTCCTGCCCAAGCCTCCCAGTGTGCTGGGCTTGGAGGTGTGTACCACCACACCTCGCTGGGCTCCCCGCTTTTCTTTTCTTTCTTTCTTTTTTTTTTTGAGACACAGTATCCCTATATTGCCCAAGGTGGTTTTGAACTCCCCAGTGACCCTCCTGCCTCAGCTTCACAATTGCTGGGACCACAGGCACTTGCCACAACATCAGCTTGTGTGTGTACTTTTGTGCATCCGAGTTTGGGCTCACTGGAGAGCTGTGCTGGTGTGTGGTAGTGTTGGCAAACACACTCATACAAGCACGTGCTGTGAGGGCTGTGTGCCTGTGTGCTGGTGTGTGTGCTCATTTGTTGGTGTCAGGTGGGTGTGAGTGTGAGTGTGAGAGAGCTGGTGTGGGTGGTGTGTCCTTTGTGAGGGTGGATGGGTAAGTACGCCCGGAGCGATAGGAAAGAAAATGAAGGCAGAAGTTGTGCTGGGGCAGAGCCCAGGCCTTCTGGCTTCCTGAAGAGAGCGGGAGCTGGGCAGCTGGCTGGCAGGAACACTGGCAGGGCCTTCATCTTTCATGTCCTTCTGTCTCACCCTCAGGTCTCCTGCCCCTTCCAAGGACCATGCTGCAGCCCTGCTGACCCAGGAGTAGGAGCCTGAGGGGTAAGTGGGGCTGGGGGGGTACTCAGGCTTTCAGGGTCAGGAAACAGAGTGGGGGTGGCCTTCCTGGGCCCCACAGCGCCTAGCAGCCCCCTCCTCCTGCCAGGGCCCTGTTGCTAGGTAACGGATGGGGGAGCCAGAATGAGGCAGCTTGAGAGGCCGGAGGCTGGACCCACGACAGGAAACATCCTTGATCCCCCTCCGTGGGGAATCTCCAGGTGCAGGCACACAGCACACACACACACACACACACACACACACACTCTCTCTCTCTCTCTCTCTCTGTGCACAAACAGGGACATACACATACGCACAGACCCACATGTGTTCACAGCAAGCAGGCACAAATGCTTCCACACAGAGCTACATACACAGGCACAGACACACAGACCAGAGAAACCTACTCACACAGACCTGTGTGCACAGAGGCACACCACAGGCACACTCTTACAGGAACATACACACACACACACACACACTTGTAAAGATGTGTATACACATAGCCGAACAAATGTACGGCAATTTACAAATGTTCCTGTACCAAGAAACCTGCACACACACATTCTTCAAGAGCTGTACCTGCACACACACGCACAAAAGTCCTTAGAGACACATGAAGACATACGAGCACAAGGATCCTGAAGGAGTCACAAAAACACAACATATCAAAGAAGTGGGGGACAAAAATATATAAATCAACACAGCAACATCCTGATACAGAAAACTAATCCCAGAAAGCTGGGTGTGGTAGCACACACCCTTGGGAGACTGAGGCAGGACGATTGTGTTCTAGGCCAACATAACAAAACAAGACCCTGTCTCCAAAAAACTAACACTAACATGGTGGCACATGCCCAGTGCTTGGGAGGCTGAGACAGGAGGATCGCCAGGAGTTTGCGGCCAAAGCCAGGCATGGTGGCACATGCCCAGTGCTTGGGAGGCTGAGACAGGAGGATCGCCAGGAGTTTGCGGCCAGGCTGGGCTACATAGTGAATTCAAGGCCAGCCTGAAGTATGTAGTGAGATCCTGTCTCCAAAAAGAAGAAGGAGAGGAAGGAAAAGAAAGGAAAACCAGGCCCAGCGATGTAGACTTGAGTAGAGAGAAAGACAAGATAGGAAGACACATACCCTCTCCACACACAACAGAGGCATCTGAGAGATAAAGCAAAGGGTGGGTCAGGTATTTAGCTCAGGGTTCTGCTGCCTGCTTTGAAAGCACAAGGTCCTGAGTTCAATCCCTGGTACCAAAAAATAAAATAAAATAAAAAGGGTGGTCCTGTCCACCTTTGTCTCTCACTAGCCCTTACCCATCCACCCTCACAAAGAACACACCACCCACATCAGCTTTCACAGTCATACCCCCGACACCAACACCCGTGTGTGTGTGTGTGTGTGTGTGTGTGTGTGCACGCGCATGCCTGTGTGCACTTGGTGGGGACCCTGAGTGAGGCATGTCCCCGTTCCACAGCAGGGTGCCTGGCATGGGCTGTGTGTTCTGCAAGAAGTTGGAGCCGGGGTCCAAGGAGGATGTTGACCTGGAAGAGAAATTCAGGAGCCATGGGGCTGCAGATCACTATGGCCCTGACCCCACTCAGTCCTGGCCCGCATCCTCCTTTGCCCAGATCCCCAACTACAACAACTTCTCCCCTCAGCCCACCAGCCCCGCCTTCCTCGATGGCACTATCAGGGACATCTCAGGTGAGTCCGGAGGGCTGGAGGCAGGTGCTGCCTGGGGCCTGGAGGCAACTCATGAAGAAGAGGAGAGCTGGACTTGTCTCCAGAAGCCTCCAGACTGATGTGGGAGACACGGCCTGGCTCTTGAGCTCAGGCAGGCCAAGAGAATGTGCACAGCCCTACCCTGGAATCCAAGTCTGAGGGGTTCTCTGAAAGGGGGACCCTGATGACAGATACAGGTAGTAAAGAGAAGTCCTTTGGCCTCTTGGGTGCCATGCCACTGCCCATGACAGAAGTCTTGGTGGAGAAGAGTTTGAGTAGGCAACTCAGGGACTCCCCAGGGTGAGAAGGGCATGAAACTGTGTGTCCTAGACCCATGGGGGCTCAAGATGTGAGGCTCAAACCAGAAATCCAGTGGACTCCACAGGTCTTTGGGTACTGGGGTACTGCAGCAGTGGGGAGGCTCAGTGTCTGGCTGGGGAACAGGACTCTAGGGGTGCAACCCTCCTCTGCCCCATTCTATGTCCTACTCTGATGAGCACCCTTGACTCTTCAGGGACTGGGGTGACCTTGTTCACCGCCCTATATGACTATGAGGCCCGGACAGAGGATGACCTTACCTTCACCAAGGGTGAGAAGTTCCACATCCTGAACAATACGTAAGTGACTAGGCCACCTTGCTCAGGGCATGGTCTTGGGTTGGGAGCAGGAACCAGAGAGGAGTCCCACCTGGTCCTATCTGCAGAAAGCTCCAGCCTACTCAGTGGTTCTGTAAGGTTCTCAATTCAAGCCCTGGTACCAAAAGAAAGAAAAAAGAAAAGAAAAGAAAGGAAGAAAGAAAGAGAAGAAAGCTCCAGCCTATTTGGTAAAAATCCTCAGTCAGGGCTAGAGGTATAGCTCCATGGTAGAGTGCTTGGCTGGCACCTATCCCCAGCACCTCAAAAAAACAAAAACAAAGAGAAAGCCAGGTGTGGTGGCACATGCTTGTAATCCCAGCTCCTTGAAAGTTCAAGGCCAACCTAGGCAACTTAGTGAGAGTCTGTCTCAAAATAAATTAAAAAAGAAAAAAGAAAAGGGAGGCTAAGGATATAGCTCAGTGGGAGAGCATTTACCTTGTATACACAGAGTCCTGGATTCAATTGCCAGCACTGTCAAAAACAAGACTAAAGAAGGCCAGGGATTTAGCTCAGTGGGTTCCACCGCCTGCCTCGAAAGCACAAGGTCCTGAGTTCAACCCCTGGTAACAAAACTAAACTAAACTAAATTAACCTAAAGAAAAATATACTGGATAATTGCTGGTAGCATGAAGAATTATGGGCACAGATAGAACAACAAACATGGTCTCCAGAAAAGAGGTGATCAGAGAAGTTTTCCAGGAGAAGGTGGTTTTTTTAACCTGAGACAGAAAAGAAGAGGTGAGAAAAGAGGACAAGAGAATGAAAATAAATAATGCCTTCTGGAATCCACCAAGTGGTTCAGTCTAGGTGGATCATAAAGAATGAGATGCAGCCGGGGATTTGGCTCAGTGGTTCCACCTCCTGCCTCGCAAGCAGAAGGGCCCAAGTTGGATCATCAGTACAAAAACAAAACAAAACAAAACAAAAATTTGAATCATTGGGCATGGTGGTGCACGCCTATTATCCCAGCACTCAGGAGGCTGAGGCAGGAGGATCACTGTGAGTTAGAGACCAACCTCGGCTACACAGTGAGTTCCAGGTCAGTCTGAACTATATCATGGGACCCTATTTCAAAAAACCAAAAAAAAAAAAAAAAAAAAGGGGGAGAGAGATGAGGCCTGGGGATGGAGCTCAGGGATACAGCACCTGCCTAGCATATGCAAGGCCCTGGGGTTGGTCCCCAGCACCAAAGTGGATGTGTGCATGAGCTGCAGAAGAAGAGTAGAAGCTGGAGAGGTGGGTGGAGTAGGATCTGTACAGCTTTTTAAACCATGCTGAGGTGTCTGGATTTTATCTAGGAGGAAATATGTAGCTCTTGGGGGGTTTTCAGTGGGGAAGTGACCTAGTCAGAGTCTGCTATATCCCTAAACCCCAGCTCAGCTGGAGAGCAAGGAGAAGCAGCCAGGAGGTCCAAAAGTCCCCAAATTAATTCCGTCTTCAAGAGAAAGCTCTCCTGGGCAGCTGAAGAGTTTGGGGGCTGAGTAGACAAAACTCCCCTACAGGCAACACCAGAGGTAAAGGGGTTGGCAAGGCCAGTCTCTGACCATTCCTCTGTGTGGCCCTGCCAAGTTCCAGGGTGTCCCAGGGACTGGAGCTCCCACTGACCACCCCCCTCTTGTGCCTACAGTGAAGGTGACTGGTGGGAAGCTCGGTCCCTCAGCTCTGGACAGACCGGCTACGTTCCCAGCAACTACGTGGCCCCTGTGGACTCCATCCAAGCCGAAGAGTGAGTGGGTAGCTGGACAAGGCTGACCGTATGGACAGGGCCTTGGGGCCCAGACTCTGAGGCCACCTCTTAGATAAGTTATTGCTGCACTCTGAGCCTGCCTCCTTGGCTAGGAATTTTTAGGGCCATTGAGGAAATCAAAGATAATGATGCTAATAACGGTAGGTAGTATTTCCATAGCAGGTACTAAGTTCCAGAGTGCTTTCTATGAATTAACAGTTAGAAATGATTGCTGTCCTATTTCACAAATGAGGAAGCTGAGACACAGAGAGAGTAAATATCCTGCCCAAGTTCAGATGGCTGGTAAGTGGTAGAGGTGAGGTATGAACCCAGGTATTCTGGCTGCATTTGGTGGGCATTGTACACCTTGCCCCGCCAGTGACAACAACAATGGATGACCTTAAAAAATGGTAAAGTTAGGTTGGGAGGTGTAGCTCAGTGGTAGAGCATTTGCCTACCATCCCTGAGGCCCTCAACACCATAAAACAAAACTGCAAAGTGGAAATTGCGGAGGTAGCTCAGGAGTTAAATGAGTGCTTATGATTAAAAACCATGTTTCAGGGGCTGGGGATTTAGCTCAGTGGTTCAGCCGCCTGCCTTGTAAGTGCAAGGTCCCGAGTTCGATCCCCAGTTCAACACAAAAAAACAAAAACTATGTTTAGCCAGACATAGTGGTGCACACCTGTAATCCCAGAACTCAGGAGGCTGAGGTAGGAGGATGGATGTGAGCTCGAGGGCAGCCTGTGTTACATAATGAACTCAGCAAGAGCCTAAACTACAGAGCAAGACCCTGTCTCAAAAAACAAAACGAAAAACAACTATGCTTACTTAAAAATTTATTACAGTTACAGACATTTCAGTGAACCCCCTTTGAAGTGCTCCCCACTGTTTCAGACACACTTCCCACCTTTCTTGCCTCTTTCTGAAGCAGCTCTAGAAATCTTTCCCGAATATCTTTTTGTGGCTCCCTCCATATCCCGAATCAATGTGAAACATTTACAGCAGTTTTTGTCAGGAGAAACAAAAATACTATGGTGTGTACTCATCCATCTTATTCACTGGCTCTGGCACTGTGTGGACTTTTGGCTCTTGCCCAAGTCAAAATGGCCATGGAAGACCAACATCTTGAATGGATTCGGGACACTGAGGCAGCCACGACAGCGCAACTAAAGACACTCCTGAAAGGGGGCTTCCAAAAATCCTTCAGTAAGTGGTAAAAATGATGGGATAAGTGTGCTGGATGTGATGAGGAGTATTCTGAGGGGGATTAATAGAATGAATCTTTCACTGTGAGATTTTTTTTTTTTTTTTTTTTTTTTTTGTT